CAATAACTATGATACAAACAGAAACAGTCGTGCCGTAAAGGCGAAATTGAATCATTTACTAAAGAGGTAGGAGCTGTTCGCGAGTCACTTGCAGCTCCCCTAGCCTCTTCCAGGCGTTCAGTTAGTCGGGGCGGAGCACGAAAAACGGATAGCGTAAAAATAGGGGAGAAGCGCGGTGCGGCGCTTCTCCCGTATTTTTTCGCTCGCCGGTTTCCGCGCTGCGCCCCGACTAACTGAACACCTGAAAGAGGCTATAGTTCCTCGTAATGTTATAGCATGAACGACGCTTAGCAACGGACGTACGCTATAATTAGATGGGCGGGTTTTGCACATGCGCGGTCAACAGTGAGTGGGCCTGAGTTATATTAGCGCCCGAGAGAAACTTCGCCTCTTCACCAGCCGGGCAATAAATAAATTTATTTACTTATTATTTACATATCCACATGTATCATATACGTAAATTTTCCGCTCTATCCGTGACTAATTCAGTTGCCTGTCACAGTTACTTGCTTTGTGAAACCAATTATAAGTATTTCTTTTACGGAATGAGGAACTGGCGGAAAAGCAAATAATTTGATATATTCGCTTCCTTCAGGTCTAATGCTAAGTCTAATTATAGAAGAGAACTCTGCCAAAGAAACACCCACGTCTTTATATTGTGCGTCAACTCTGCGCATTGCGTTGGCGAAACTGAAAAAATATTTAAGCGTCTGTTTCAACTCCACCAGAACTCTAGATGACTAAAACAGGCCATGTCTACAGAATTCTTTAATCACAATTCGCCACATAGACCGGAAGCTGCCGCTATTTTTCTGGAAAGTCAAAGTAGAATGAAAACGTAATTTGTTTGGCGTAAAACGGCAAAGTCGTCAAATAGCGTGGGCACCAAACCCACGCGTGCGCGCTTCTCGCGCGCCTTCAAGGGCAGTTCCGCTGTTCACCGATCCCTAGGTAATTATTTCCGCTTTTGCTGGACGCAGATTTTAGAGCTGCGCAGAAGTAGAACGGGGTTACGGACGCAGACAAATGGCGTAACTCTCGGCCCAGGATTTCGCGCGGCCATTTCTTTCTCGCGATTTTCTTTTGCACGACGGTCTAAGCGAAAGAGGGACTACTGGTAGTCTATCTGATCACACACACTGATAGTTCCTAATGAAGTTTTACTTAATCACGGCAAACGGTAGGGCCACGAAAACAGTTATTCAGTTTTTCAACTGATGATCAATGTTCTTCTAAGTATCTTCCGAACCACCACTGCGTTGTGGAAAACGCATTTCGGGAACAAGTGAATTCGGGGTTTATTCCATCTCCATAGTAACCGAAGTAGTCAACTCTTGGCAGTCTTGGATATGCTGGGGGAAGAAATTCACAGCCAGTATCAGAGCTGTCGATATTAAGCAGGTAGCTACCAGAATACTGCCAAAATCCAACTGTAGTGCCATTTCCACCAACATTTCCGAGAATATTGATATGCTCTACAGGTTGGCAAGTCGACGATCCGCCACCTTCATATAACATGATGTCGAAGTCGCTGAATTTTCCCCTGAGGTAATCTTTGTAAGTAATTGTTCCGGGGTGACCATAGGCGTTGCAGGTCGCGCGCCAGTGGGTTGAGTGCTTACGAATGCTGTTTATTCGAGCCAAAGTCTGACGGTAGATCTCAGGGTTTGGAGTTTCCTCGTTGATGGGAGCATCTTCATAAAATGCCCTGTTTTTAAAATGCGGCAACTCCTTGTATTTTGCAGTCATCCAGGACATAACCAGAGTCCAAGCTGAGCCCGGCTCGTTTGAGAGGTCACAAAACGCCACGTAAATCTGGTCGTCGTAGTCGTAAAGCGGGTAGTAGTCGTTTCGGCGGATGCCATGGTGAAGGTAGTCCAAACAAGATCGGGGCATATATCCATGCATTATCAAGTCGGTGCTATGAACAGACTGAAATTAACAAATGACACTACTATGGGTTAGTTATACTATTGAGACGAGAAGGTACCGAGACTCTATCTTTTATTTCTTGGTCTACCTTCCTTCAAGCACATATCTAATCTTCTAATACTTGATTAGCAGATGGAAAATTGCATCTTTATAGTGGTCGATTCGCTTAGCTTCAGTGAAGCTAGTTCTCAGGCATACCACTAAACTGAAAGAAAGCAATATTCGGCAAATAAACACAATAGGCTTAAAAAATCCCAACTGGCGGGAGGCAATTCAATTCAATTCAATTCAATTCAATTTTAATTTAAACTCGCATACTGAACAATAATTTTACAGAGGTGTCAGAGAAAAATATCAGAAAATAGCCAACTGGCAGACCAGTTGGCTTGTTATAAGCAGGACAAAGGGTTCAACAGCGACTTCCGGATTTCAAGTCCCGCTACCTAACCATTCAGCCTCGCTGGCTCCACATCAAACATATCCTTTTAGAGTACCCAAACAATTTCACGCGACTTCTAAAAGGGAACTACAAAGTTCTTGAAACCACCATGCCCCAATAGAAGCCAAAGTTTAAAGAACAAGAAAACTAAACTGACAGGATTTTTGTGGGAGATTCAGACCAAGGCCAGTAGACGAACCTAAACATGTCAACTGATAGGGTATTGCTCGGAGCTTGAGTACGCTCGATAAACAACTTGAAGTCATAAGACTCACTGTGGGGGTAGTCACACCCTAGAATCACAAGACAAACGTGTTGGCTACAAAATGATAAATAACTGATGATCACGAACAAAAAGTACTAAATTCTATGCATATTATTGAGCTTTATAACACTACGATGGTGAAATGGTTTTCAAACAGGCTCCAAATGTTGAAATACACTCTTTTTATCCTTATAATAATATTGTTTTTTTTTCCGGCCCAGGCTAAATGTTATTATTTTTCTGCCGATTTAGGCTGAAAATGTTTTTGTGAACATTCTTAGATAGTAATACAAAGGGACTACACCGGCACAACTTCAGATTGTCTGTCCTATCATGACTTTGACGGCGTTAAAGTAATTTTGGAGCCAGACTGCAGGCAGCTAATCCTGGTATGGCAAACATAACTTCTTGCAGAAATGTTTTCAGCATCCGGACATACAGGTAGTGCTGTTTTTTGGCCAGTTTTGCCGTTTAGAGACGAGAAATTTTTTATACGGTCAAGTTAAAAACATATAATTGTATTGTGTTTACAAATTTTCAACGCTCAAAATTATGTTCTTTTAAAGTCTCAGCCTCGAAAATTTTCCTCATTTCGGCCGCAATATTCTTAAAAATTATATTCTTATAAAAAAGAAAGAGTGTAAGTCCATGGGCATATATGCATGGAAGGACGGTATGTGCAGTCTCGATTACTTCTGTCGCTAAGAAATTCCGCAGTATCAGGCTAGCAAAGTCTGTCTTCGAAATGTATGTCGGGGACAAGCTTTCAAAGTAACACGTGCTTAAATGCTTATTTGAACTCACCAGATTTATTTCGAAGGTAGAAGAAGCCTTAGCGAAAGTTGTAAGCAGCAGCAAAAGAAGGAATTTCATTTTTGCTTGTTTCAAAAATAAGGGCAACACTACTCTTCCGCTGGATTCGCTTACGAGGAGCGAGCGCGGCTATCTGCGACACTGCTCACCTTTCATCAATACACGTGATGACTTGTTAATTTAGCTCAGTCACACGATTTTCTGGTGAGGAGATGTTTGACTGTTATTAGCTGGTATCTCGTGACTTAAAGCTTATCAATCGCTTTAGGAAAATTGCTCGGACTGAACTGTCGTCTGGAATTTCAAGTTCTTGTCGTGTACGCGCGATCATCACTGCAGTCTTTCAACATTTTCTATTTTTTTTTTTTTTTTTTTTTTACAGTCACGAGACTTTGAATGTCCTTCTTTTGGTCTTCTCAAGTATTTAATTATCAATTTGTACCTAAATGTTCTTTCGCAACTTCGCAAAAACGAGAAAACGTCGCTATTTCGCAGACGACCTCCAGCCAATGCACGCCAATGGCTGACAGTACACGAGTAGCTCAGCCATTCAAAATACAGCATTGATTTGCATTAGCATACAAGTGGAATTCTACTAATAGACGATAGCCGCTTTGGACGAGTGCACTAAAACAAAACAGTCCCAGTGCTAGCATCCACCAGGTTCTCGCAGCTTTCTAGCATTCTCCAATAACACTTTAACTCGTCGCCTGACTCGTCAATGCAACGTGCACGCAATCATGTTATAATCCGTGATAAACAGAAGACAACTGATACTCCTGGGTCAAGCCATTTACTTTAAAAATGATATACTAGCTGTTAGAAAAGAAAGATTTTTATTTCTTGGGGAGAACAAACCCACTCAAACAGTGTCAATCAGCTCTTACCTTTGAAGAGAGAACTGTATCGCCACGAATGAAATAAGAATTCTATTGTTGTGAGATGATCCTAAAAGCGATTGTATAAGGAGATAAACTGAGTGTGTTCCATCGCAGATTAGTATGGAAGGTGGTTTTACATCTGAGATTACCAGCAAGAACCGCAGACGAACAAGTTACACAACCTGTCTTAAGGTAAAAAATTAGACATCTGGGCCTCTTGCTCGCAAGCGAACATCTGGCAACCAATTACAAGTATTTCTTTTACGGAAAAATTGGATTGGGAACTTGCGAA